CACAGGATAGCACATGGCTCGCACCACGCCTTGTCACATGCCACATCCATCACATGCCATGTCATCACGTCACGTATCACACGTTACCTCACGCCACACACACTGTGCATCTGTCCGTTTCCTGACGCTCTCTTTGATCCAAGGGGGAAATTCTAAAGTTCTGATTTCTGTGACAGTTAGTGTGCTGTTTAGGAAACATTTATGTGGGAAATGAGTGAGGATGACCGACTCACAGAAATGCTGAGCACCTGTCGCGGACAGAGCGTGATAGACATAGAGGAAATGTGTGGGACACGGACTCTCCCACTTTCACGCTTGGAGCACCTGTTAATGCCCGTGTGGCCTCGCGTCGTGAGCTTGGCATCAGGACCCCCGGCACTGACGCAGTGTGACTCGCCATCTCCCCGATCGCGGTCTGCAGCTCTCAGGGTTTCTTGGGATGGGGTTGGCCCCTCCACCCGACCCCGGTGCCTCCCTGGGGTTGTGTTCGGTTGTCCTCCCCGGACGGGTCTGAGCCATGCAAATGTCCACTTAGTTTTTATGGCTCAGGTACCAGGTTTGAAACAGAACTGAAGTCCTTTGTTTTTAGTTTTTAGAACAGAACTGTTTTTAGAATTCATATAATGAAATTACCCACTTTTCTGAAGTTTTATGATATTATAGAGGATTTATACTGAATAGCGAGTGTTGAATGTGGGTAAGGTAAATAATTCCGGCAGAATTTTATTTTTTGGGAAGCAGTGCTGAGACCCGTAAACGTCTGTGGTACCAGAGTCCATGCGACATCTGGGTGTCTGCCCATCGGCAGAGCTGTGAGGACTTGGATATGTTGGGTGTAGGACAGGAAGCCTCACTGCTGTTGGCTGTGCTGATGTGACCACCTCAGGGCTTGTCTTACGTGCGATTCTATCATGTGACGAAGCGTGAGAGGAGTTTTCATGGTTGAAGTAACTGCTGTTCTCTGGGTGGAGAGGCTGCGTCACTGGTGCGTGAGGTGAATCCCCACACTGGCCGGTAATGTCCCACGGACAGAACTGTCACACAGACTGAGTTCCGTGCGTGGCCGTTTTGTGGCCACGTGGGTCCTTGTGGCAGGCATGCAGGAAAAGTATATTGAATATGTAGCAGTAAATATACTGCAATTGTGTATCATCTAAGGAGGGAGGAAAACGTTTTGTTTTCTTATGCTTGACCCATCCCTGCTGGCACTGGCTGGTTCGGCGCTGGGTGTAAACCTCCTGAGTTTATAGGCCGGGGACTCACTGTGGCTGTGAGAACGTTTCTGTTTGGAGGACTGTTCTTGTCAGGTCCACACGAGTGTCAGTTAAAGTGCTGCTTCTCTGACCGTCTTTGCAGCTGCTCGGAGCGCCCTGCGGGACCAGCCCCTGGTCTTCCACAGCCGCGTCAGGTCCTCGGGGTACACGGCCGCACCGCAGTGAGTAGCGGCTCACAGCCGCTCCCCTGGGGGCAGAGACATGTGACGGTCGTCCAGGCCGGGTCCAAACGTGGCGGAGTGTGTCCTGAGGGCCATGCAGGACGGGAGACAGACATGAACAGCAGTTAGAACCAGATCGGACCCAGAATGTCCTAGTCACAGAGGTGGCAGCAGCTGCAGAGCCAGCGTTTGCTGGGTGCTCACTGTGTCCGGGCTCCACCAGCAATTTGGGCCTCACCTGGTCATAGTGATAATGACCTGTGAGGGGAGGATGGGAGAGGGACGTGGCGTGGAGGCCTAAGGGCACCGTCCTCCCCGACCACAGCCTCACTCTCACAGCAGCACCTGCCCCTTCCTCCCCAGGTGCACCTGGAGGCCCACTGGTGGTGCTTGCGGAGTGGCCCGGCCGCTGCTCCCTCTGATAAAGTCCCTGCCTCTGACTCCCTGCCCAGCCCTCTGGGCTTTACTCTCCCTATGGCCTGACCATGGGTTGGCATGGCCAGAGCTTTACTTATAAGTAAACTGCACGGTGTTCCCCAGGATTTTTATACCAGATACAGCCTGCTTTCCAGCACTGATTGGCCAGTGATCGTGTATAACTGGAAGACCAGCTGTTAGTCTCAAAGTTAAATTACCTAGTTTGTTACTAACTCGGGACACCGATGGCATTTCTGCATTTACGTGTGTTTTTCCCTGTTCTCTTGAGAAGCTCAGAGCTCGTGACCCCTGAGACTGATGTACAGCTTCCCTCCCACAGGGTCACCATGTTTTCACCGAAAACCAATCTCAAGAGTGACTGTAAAAGGTCAAAACGCAAGAACACTCACACTCGGTAGGCACCTGGCCTGTGCTTCCAAAGCAAACTTAAATAACTTGGAGAAAGCCTTTAACAAGCTAATTAGCTTTTTCAAACAGGTGTGGGACCTTCCCTGCGTCTCTGTAACGCACTTATGTGCACCGCGTGTGCACACATCGATCTACTTCCTCTGGTCAGACTTAACTCTGTCATGCTTGTCATGTTTCAGTCGCTGCCGCCCCCCCCAGCAGCTCTGGACATTTGATTTTTATTGCTGTGCACCCTCCCAGAGGGTGTTTTTCCCATGGCTTTTTTCACGGAGTGGCAGGGAGGGAGGGGGAGAGAGAAACATCGATGTGAGAGAGACACCTGTGTGAGTAAAGTGTGTTGACATGCATGTGGATACATGTGTGGTAAGTGTGTGAATGTGCATGTGGACAAGTGTGGACAATTCCAGATCAGAGCTACTCCCCCTCTCCAGCCTCCTACTGGTTCTGGCTGTCGCTGTGCGACTCGGGCTTCAGGCTGCGTTTACCTGGGGCTGCGGGACCCAGGAGGGGAAGGACGTGGGAGGCCTCCCTCACCTGGCTGGTCCTGGTCGTGGCCTGGCCCCCACCTGAGGCTGTGCAGCGGTTGCTGCAGCTGGTGAACTGGGAACTTTTTGTAGAAACAGGGTTGCGGGGCCCCTGCCTGGCTCCCGGGTCCCACCCGCCCACCTGTCCTGCACACTGTCCCGCCCGCCCTGCCCTTGCTCTTGACTTTCAGCACCGGCCCTTTCCCCCCAGGCCTTCCCAGCTTCTTTAAATGCTGGGACGTGACGATTTGTTCATTAGGGAAGTTATCGGTGTATGGAGATCACCCTCAGAGTCTGACCTGGGCAGTAAAACTGGTTTCCCAACCACCCTTCCCTGGAGCCATCACGGTATCCATGCCCATTTATATTAAATACAGTAAGTTCTTGGTATTTCAAACTTGAAACACCTGCTTTTTGGCTCTAAGGAACGCAAGTCCATTTTAAAGTTGTTTCATGGTTTGGGATGCACCAGTTACATATGGAAATATTCAAGTCTGAAGGAGTGAGACTGCACCTGTAAACGGGGAGGTCCGTGGTATTTACTTTTATTTCCCGTCTCACCGTGAGCTCCCTCTTGACCGTGGTCTCTCCCATCCCTCTTCAAGTGAGGAGTACCCTCTGGAGAGCTCTCCACCCACCCAGCTCCGCAGGCAGCTCGCTGTAGCCCAGGGCCCGGCAGCCGTGCGCTGCGTCCAGTTCTCAGGTACGGCATCCGGTGTCCTGGGAGGTGCTTTGCCACTCACTGTCCGTTGTAAACAGATTTTAAGAAATCTCAGTTACTTGGAGCTTAACGGCAGTGCTTGAGTTTAGATTAAGATCAGAACGCATGTTCCCCTGCGTTGATGGGAGTAGGCACAGAGCTCTGACCACACCAGCCTGGGCTCAGGCCGTGGGCTCCCGGGACTGTGTCCTGCATCCCCGGGTCCCTGCATCCCCCCTTCTCCTCTTCACGTGTGAGGGGAGGCCTGGCAGGTAGGCTACTCGGAGAGGGTCTGTGTGGCAGGGAGGAAGAGCCACACTCTGCCCTGGACACTGGTCACCTGGCCGCGTGGTAGGTGGAAGGAGAGCACACAGGTGGACGACTGTGATGTCCCAGCCACACGCCAGGCTTCTCAGCCTTGTGGCAGCCATTCTGTTCTCAGGGGCATTGAAATGCCTCCTCTAGACTTCCCTCCTGGCTGTTGGCCTTTTTCTAATGAATTTGGGGAAGGAAGGAGGCAGCTCCCATCCGGGAGCTCTCCGATCTCAGCTCTTTTCAGAGTAAACACTGTGGTTCTGAGGTCCCTGCCCTGGGTCCTGGGTGGACGTGGGGCCTGGGCCTGGCAGCCCCGCGCCTCCCACCTCCAGCGTGTGAGCAGCCATTGGCCACAGTATCGTAAGTGGATTCCTGAAGGCTGTCATTATGTACAGCCACCCTAAATCCCCTTGTTTTTCATGTAATGCCAGCAAAAGAAGTTTTAAAATGATGTTGGGAAATTAGATCTATAGTGTTATCAGTGAACTAAATATCCCTGTGATGTTTGACATGCTTGTGACTATAAGCATCTGACTATACAGGTAGGACCCTCAGGTCTGAATGTTCTGGAGGAAACCTGGTTTATTTCCACCTTGTCTCAGGGAAATGTGTAGATGGAACTACTTAGAGAATATGCCGCTTACAAGTCTCCTGGTGGGAGGTGGGTGGCACAGGCTAAGAGCGGGCGCCCGAGGCTCAGGGTGCTCTGGGCTCAGACCCACCTGGCCCCTCCACTGCGCATCCTTGGCTCCCTCTGCAGACGAAGCCGAGTGGCCTCAGAGCTGGGAGTTAGCTGGTGGGGAGAGCCAGGACCTGATTCTTTCATGTCCTGAGAAAACTGTCATCGTGTTAACTAAACATCGAGTCTCTAGCTTTGCTCTGGCAGGAGATGGGCGGCGGCTGGCCTGCGGCTTAGCCAACCACTTGTCACTGGTCTTCGATGCCGATCTTACTGGAGCACCTGCTATTTTCTCAGGTAAAATGTGCCTAAACTTTAGTTCATGTGAGTTTAGGGGCAAGTCCCACTCTGGTCCTGGTTGTTGACTGCTGGGGGAAACCTTTGTTTCCTGTAAGATAAGCTCAGACAAAGCTGAGCACCGTTCCTGAGGTGGGTCCCTTGTTAGTAGCAGGAGGGATGGGAGGACAAGGGAGGAACAAGTAGGCCACAGCGACCCGGGAATAATTGAGCCCAGTTACACGTGCAGCTTCCCATGGGCGGGAGCCCCTCTGACATGTGGCCTCGTCAGCTCTTTGCCACATGTGGGTGAGGGGGTCAGAGTGGCCTCACCAGGGTGCCGGGAGAGGGAGCCGCTCAGCTGTGAGAGGGTGTGTTTGAAGGTCCTGTAGCTGGATATGGTGGGGCCTCCCTCCCCGGGGCCTCACGGGCGGCAGCACCCAGATCTCCGGACACCCGGGCACCTAGGCACCCAGGCAGCCAGGCAGCCTTGCAGAGCCTCAGCTGCTGTTACTGGTGACGGTTGCCCGCTGAGCCGCAGCGATGACCGAAGCTCCCAGGAATGCCCACCAGAGGGCGGCAAAGCCATTCCGGTGTTGGCTGAGTTGTCTTGGTCCCCCTGCTGACGCGTGTGAGCTGGAGATGCTGCACTGCACTGTCACTCGTAAATGGCCGTGTGTAATTCACACGTGGCAGCAGCGTGGGGCCCCGTAACGAGACGCTGGTGATGGCCACGTGCTTGTAGCCATGGGGCCTTACTCTCCATGGTTTCCGTGGCAAAGTGCTTGGATACGGGGCAACGTGTGACCATCCTCCAGGCCCTGCTGCCTGCTGCCCGGGACACGGGTTCAGAGCTGCAGGTCATGTCTCCTCTGTCCCGCTGGGCAGTGCAGGCCACGGTGCTCCAGCCACTCCACCTGGATGCAGCTGACAGCCAGGTGCAGGGCAGGCGAGGCAGGTGTGGGGCAATCCATGCACCACACTGGGGCCCAGTGCACGATCCTGGCCGTGTCAGGCAGTCCTCCCCTTTCTGAGCGTCAGCTTATTTCTCTATAAAAGGGGAGGTGCATTACTGGTAACTAGACCCATTACCTGTGAAGTTCATTATTCTGACAGTCCAATCTTCTGACAAGAAGGTGGGTTCCATCCTCACACACAACTGGCTGTCAAACTGGGGCCGAGCATGGTGGTGATGGAAAAGTCCAGCGTCGTAATGTCCCCAGGGATGGACTGCCCTTGTCACAGTGGAGCCTGTCTGGGCGTTTGGATAAGAAGTGAGAGTCCAGGGGCTGCTGTGTCCCGACCCGGTGGGAGACTGAGCTTGTCTTTTCTCCCTCTCTCGACGCGTCGTTTATGTTCCCGTGTTTGGAAACCTGTGGGGCATGTTAGGTTAACAGTGTTGGCGTGAGAGCCCACCCAGGGTGACATCAGAGCGCTTGCTCACGGTCATCCGATGCCCGAGACCAGCCTGCTCACCTGGAAATCAGCCACGTCAGTTCTAGATGAAGCTTCTCAGGTCCATCACGACAGACGATCGGATCCATGGAATGTGCTCAGTAGATCCTTTCAGTTTTTCCTCCCATGTTAAAAGAACACAGTTATTTAAAATGCATCCTAGCGAACCCCAGGTTTCTATACATTTTATGATTTTCTACATTTTCTAAGGTTTTTTAAAACACACTCTCAGCTGCACACGTAATTTTGAACTTAATATTCTACAAAACATGAATTTTGGAAAAACATTCCTCAGAAACAACATGAAGCCTTCAAAATGAAGTTTGTCACCTTCGTGGGCTTTGGTTCTACTGGCATCACTGGTCCCTCCCTCGCTGTCTCCCACAGGTCACAACGGGGCAGTGAGTGCCCTGGGCTGGAGCCACGACGGCCGATGGCTGCTGTCCGCCTCCCAGGACGGGACCGTGAGGGTGTGGTCAGCTTGCAGTAGGGAGCTCGCCTTGTGTCTGGTGAGGGGCAATTCCTGTTGATTTCATGGACCAGCCCTGTGATCAGAGATGGTCAGGTAGTCACAGCTGTGCAGACAGACCTTTCTCCATGTCCAGGAGGTTAGGAAACAGAGCAAACTAGGAGTTTGCTTCAGGGCCCTGAAAAGTAGTGACTGGAGTGTTCTTAAGTGTGTGTGTGTCTATAGAGACACACACAATGGGCACACATGTGTAACACCTACGTACATGTAGTTAAACATGCCCTTCCCTTGTTACAGTCTCCAAATGGCAAAACTGTTAATACTGAGATACTGGAACAAAATTAAATATTCATTCAGCAGAACGGGGAAGGAGAGATGGGAGAGGGCAGGAGGGGGGTTGACAACAGGGCACGAGCTTCGGTTCATTACCCTATGAGCCTGTGAATTGCCAACCTGCAAAGACGTTATTTGCATTTTTTCTGTGAGTCCAGTTGTGAAAAGGGGTTGGATACCAGGAGAACTAACCCAGAAGGGGCATGGGTCAGGTGAGGGCTCTGGGGTCCGGCGGCACCCAGCTTTTGAGGAGATGCTGGTTTGGGGGCATTACCACCACACGTGTGGGCTATGAAATGTGAGTGTGGACACCTCACAGCTGTGGCTTTAACAAAACCCTTGATACTTAATACCTTTGCTGCTAAGTTGTAAGTGTCTTTTATTTTAAAGTTTTTAACGGCCAGATTCAAAGCACAACAGGGAAATTTAGTCATATAACGTCTTTAAAAGAAGCCGGGAAGGAGGAACCAACATTGTAAATGGGCTGAGCAGAGACTGACGTGTAGGAGAGACAGGCGCTTGGTGCTGAGGCGAGCTCCCGCTCGGAGCCGTGGCGTTCACCGTGCGGGCGAGGCTGTGTGGTGGTGACGACGGCCGTGTGCATTGCAGGGCACAGACCTATTCCCCCAGCCAGTGCCCTGCGCCCAGTTTTACTACCTCGACGCTTTCATCCTGCTGTCGGTGGGCCCCGAGTTCCAGCTGCTCACGTTCCATCTGGACACCGGCAGAGATGAGATCAAAAGGTCAGCCTGTCCGCCGAGCCTTTTCTGTCTAGTGGGCGGAAGCCCTGTTTCATCGATGAGTGATGTGTAAAGATAGTGTTTACACTGAAAAATGGTTTACATCCACAACGTGGTAAGGCCCCAGTTACCCAGGCGCTGGGGAGAGCAGAGGAGGGGTTCGCCCACGCGGAGCCTCCTGGCAGGTGGCCTCGCCTCCCGCAGCCGTTCCTGTGTCCTCGGGGGGCTCCCCGGGAGAGCTGGGCTTCGTGTCCCAGGTCCGTGCGTCCCTCGCAGACCTTTTCCCCATGGGCACTGGCCTCAGCGGGAACGCTTTTATTTTTAGTTTTTACAGGTAGCACATAGTTGTGGAGGGAAATGGATACCGATCGTCTTTTCCCAGGTACAAGCAGAAGAGCAGGTGCAGCCCCGTGTTCAGACTCCCCACCACGGGGGCCGCGGAGATCACCAGCCTGTCTGCCGTGAACGAGTTTTACTCCCGTATCCTTTCTCCCGGCGTCCTCCAGATGGCTTCACGCCAAGCGCTGCCTCCAGTGCAGCGTCTGATGAGCATCCGAGCTCTGGGCACCGCGCGGGCACCGGGACCCACAGACCCAGTTAATTAATTCTGAGAAATGTGATAGTTTCATCTGACAGTGAAAGTGCCTCAGAGGCATAAACCTGGATGTAGTGGAGCCTCTGACCATAGTGGGTGATGGAGCCACTGTCTCTGCAGCTTGTGGAAAACATGTAGTGATTCAGGGCGTTTACAGTAACTCGCCAGGCTCGCTGCTCGCACCCAGTAATCGGGGACTAATTGGACAGCGTGTGTCATCCCGTGGAGGCCACAGAACTCTGAGCAGCTGTTGTCCTGTGGAATGTAAAACTGAGTCCAAACTTTAATCTTTTTGAGTTTTTATGGAAGCACCATCCCTTTTAATTAAAAAGCATTAATTTAAATGTACTTAGAAGCAAACATCATAATCTTGAGGAATTTATTTTGACATTTTAATTTATTCAAAGGCCTAATTTGAATGCTTTTGACAAGTCTGTAGTTGAAATGTCACAAGGACCGGCCTATGGTGTTGGAAGGTTCTAGTATGTTCTTTCACGTATGTGTAATTTCTGTTCTAGAGCCTTTTGCTAAAAACAGAACAGAAGAGCCCCCCAGCAGAAATGTGTCACTCTGGTGGTTGTCGCCCCGAATGACGGGTTCTGCAGCTTCTGGTGTCAGCTTTGGGTTTATTATCACACCTACTTCTCTTTCCCAGTGTGTACGTTTTAGTATTTTAGTGTAGCTTTTCTGCCATGTATACTTTCCAGTATTCTGGGCTAAACACTGGCAGTTGGTAGTTTGGGGATCACATGAACCCCAAGTTCATAAATTGCCCTCAAATACCAAATTCACGGAGTTTATCACACTCATCTGGTGATTTGTCCTCTGCTCACACACCTGGCCCCTGTGGCACCAGCCACCTCGTGGCTCCACTGTCTAACGTTTGCCTCAGACCGGCCTTCTGCGCCCAGTACCTGTACCCACGCACTCAGACACCTGCTGCGCTGTCTCCTCACTGGAGCATTTCCCTGGCATCTCAGACCTCACTTATCTGTTAATACAACCCTCAGTCTTTCACCTCGAAATTGGGTCCACCCAGGGTCTCCCCTCTGTCCTCAGCAGCCCCGCACCCCCCGACGGCTCTGGGCAGGGGTGAGGCCAGTGTGGGGCTGAGATGGGACTCAGTGGAGCTTCAGGGAGACTTTCCTAACGGAACCCCGCAGACCTCGTGCTGGCTGCTGGCCGGAGCAGGACTGTGGAGGTTTTCGACCTCAACGCAGGCCGCAGCGCCGCCCTGATCAAGGGAGCCCACTCTCGGCCTGTCCACCAGATCTGTCAGAATAAAGTGAGTTTTTGGTACTGCGCATTGTCTATAAAATCGTATGTTTAAAGTGTGTAACTGATACAGTTGTGTGATGCAGTTTTATGTTTGCCACTGAGTCAAAGGTTCATTCTTGTCAATTATTAAGTAATTCTAAGCTTTCAAGTTTGCCATTGAAGATATTTCCACATCATACTGGAGTTTAATTTTTGTACGTTGGCCTTGATTGTTTTGTGACTGTTTCGACTTCACTAGTTGTATGTTCCCACTTATGCTCCGTGAGGGTCTGGGCAGGTGCGGGGACTGTGAAGCAGCCTCCAGGGGCCAGTAGCTCGTTTTCAGGGTCTAGCTCGTTTTGACAGAAATGGTTTAAACACACCCACAGCCTTGGGTTGGGACTCTGGATTAGAGGAGATGGGCATTTAGATGGATTTATTGTCTCACAGTTCAGTTTAAAAGATAATTTGTTACTCAAAACCGTGTTGGAGAGGCTTGGGAGCAACTCCAGTATTGAATTTTGACACATCCAGAACGTCTTTGCTAATGAAGGGCTACTTTGTGAAGCCCTCTGAAATCACGTTGTGATTCAGGGACTCATGTTTTTAGAGTGAAGTCTTACTCTATTAGTTAAAAGGCTCTGTTTCCCATGGTTACGGTACATCGTTCCAGGTTTCCTTTACGTTACCATCTGATAACCTGTGAGGTGGTAACAGGTGTGAGTGGGAAGGAAGGCACAGACTCTGAGCCCCTGTTCTGGACAAGTGGGTACTGGGGGACTTGGGCTACAGTGAGACTTTTCTCCCGGGTGCAGTGGGTCGGCCCCGGATTCAGAGCCGGAGCAGCCTGACTCCGGTCCAGGTCCCTACGAGCTGTCAGTCTGGACGGCTGTGCAGATGGCTGTGGGGGGAGGGGTAAGCCAGCCCAGGTGGGGTCGGGCTGTGGGGTGGCCCCGTCCAGGCGGAGCACCTGCAGTCGTGTGCCATTTACCCACCTCGCAGGGCCTCCTTGGTCTTGGATGGGGCTCTGAAGGCTCAGACAGGCATTATTGGACCTGTTTTCCTCAACATTATACCTCAGAGGCTAATTAATTAGGAAATTAATAATTTCAAATCATGACCTGGGCAGGTTTTTCTGGTTTGTGTATGGAAAACATCAGCTTGGAGAGGGTTGTCGAAGAAAAGACTATGCTGCTTCCTTTATTTGTACAGAATCTTCTTGTGTAAAAACAGAACAAAACTATTTCACTCACAGTGCAGTAGGTACCGGGTGAGGGAAGGCATCCCTCTGAAGCCTGTTGTAACTCCTTTACGAGGCTCTAACAGTCAACTCCAGAAACGAAGCGCCGGTCAGGCGGCCCCGCAGCCATGGGCCTGTGTTTCTCTGCTGTGTCTCTGAGCGGCCTCAGCGTGGAGTTGTGGCAGGAACAGGCCCAGGGCTCCGTATTTGAGGTGCAAAGTGTCTAGAATGTCATCTGGCACAGAGTTAGGGCTCAACATATACATTAGTTATTGCTGTTGGATTTATAAATATATATAATCATTGCTGTTGGATTTACAAACATATATTAGTCGTTGTTGGATTTGCATGAGCCTTTATTTCCAGGTTGTGGGGAAGAATCTCTTCTAGGCCTGGGCACAGTTTACGCATAAAGGCCCACAAATATACTTCAGTACACTTGTCCTAATATTTTGGATATCCTTGACATAGAAGGAGGAAGAGAATCGTCATGAACCATAAAATATTTAAGTAATGTTTTCAATCAAGTGGCTCAGCAGATGGATTGAAATTCAGTTCTCTTCCATGAGACACTTTAAGTCACATTTTAAATCTACGGCAGCAGCTGGGATGAGCCTGCTGTGGGCTCAGCTGATCAGATCAGAGTCACCATTCAGGTGACTCATGTCACCCAAGTCCTCACACAGGCGTCCTAGGGCCTGACAATCAGCAGATTATCGAATATGGGTTGTGATCTATACTTTAAAAATGAGTTTTGCAGTGCTAATATCTTGGTCCTGTGATCTTTTACCACTTGTATTTTTATGACTTTCTGTGTCTTTACATATGGAGAAAACATACATCAGTAAGTCTTAGAGTCAAAATGCACTGTTAGTAATTGTTCATATGCAAGTTTTTGGAATCCAGTTATGAAACTGTTATAAATAAGAATGAAAGTTTCTGTGAATTTCTTACTTTGGATTTGGTGTTGTTAGATATTGGGAGTATGGTGATCATTAATTCAGTCTTCAGAAAATACACCCTAATTTCCCCCCTCGTGTTTACAGGGATCGTCATTTACGACCCAACCACCTCAGGCTTATAATCTTTTTGCAACCACAGCTGTTGGTGACGGGATCCGGCTATGGGATCTGAGGACCCTGAGGTGAGGCCCGTCCTGTTCACAGGCCATAGCTGGGGGAGGCCAGAGGCCAGGGGCCACATGGACGTGTTTCTGTGGAAGCTCCTGGAGCACCTTGCTTTAACCTGCTGCGAGCTTGGGCCTGGCCGGATGTGGGGAGTCTGCTCACACTGACCCCTCTCAGAAAGGTCCGATGTACACACAGAAAAGGTCACAAATGTGGAAAAACAACAGCCGCTGGTCTTTCCTCTGTTCTGTGTGCCCTGTGGCCCTGAATGTGGGCTCTCGTCCCAATAGCTGATGGTGTTTCTCAAGAAAACCAGCATCAATTCCCTTACTTTTTTTTTACAATAAACAAATCTTATTTAGCACTTTATAGTTGGTTGTAAAACGTAACCAGCCTAGAGAGAGTGTTGCACCTCCCCAAAGTCTTTGACTTATTGATTTAAATAATTTATGATTTTAAAGATCTCCAGAATAAATTGATCATTTACTAGTCTTCATATATAAGAAGTTTGATTAGTTAGTTTGCTCATCTTTGAGAATTTGTGATTTTGAAAAGTCTTTAATTACTTTTGAAAATCTCTAGAATAACCTCAGTGTTTAACGATCCTCACGTATAAAAATGTTACCAGTGTGTTCATTTTTTTGTGAAGAAAATCACCAGGTCAGTGTCTTTATCTTAATTTGTGTTGAAAATGAAGAAATTGTTTTTCTCCCGCTGCTTCCATCTCCCTCATAGGTGTGAGCGCCGCTTCGAAGGCCACCCGAACCGCTGCTACCCGTGTGGAATCTCCTTCAGCCCCTGCGGGCGACTCGTGGCTTGTGGAGCAGAGGACAGACACGTAGGTGCCAGCTTTAGTCCCAGGGGTCCTAGGCCCCCCTGTGGAGTGTAACCCTGACGCACATTCAGATAAAGACACAACTGAAATTTGAAGGCCGTCCCGCGGCCGTAGTATTTTAATAACAGTAATGAGCGAGGCACTTTTCGTGAAGCACATACTAATTTATATTCAGTTGAGCCCTGGCCAGTGTTGCTCAGTGGTTAGAATGTCGGCCCACGGACCGAAGGGTCCTGGGTTCGATTCCGGCCAAGGGCACATACCTCGGCTGCAGGCTCAATCCCTGGCCTGTCAGGGAGCGTGCAGCAGGCAGCCAGTCGATGTCTCTCTCACATCGATGTTTCTCCCTCTCTCAGTGTCTCTCCTTTCTACTCTCTCTGAAAAGCAGTGGAAAAAATATCCTTGAGTGAGGGTTAAAAACCCCATTATATGCACTTGTCCTTAACATAGTCGAGAAGGTCTTGTGTTGGATTCCTAGGGATGCTGTGACCAATGACCACACACTGGGCAGCTTCACACAACAGAGCCCTGCTCCCCCACAGTCCAGAGGCCAGGGGTCTGAACCCAGGTGCTGGGAGGGTCCGTCCCCGGCGGCTCTGAGGAGGGTCTGGCCCTCGCCTCCTGAGACCTTCAGTGTTTCTGTCTGTGGCCGTGCACTGCGATGCCCACTGCGCGGTAAACGGTGACGTATGTTTGTGGTTGCATTTAGTAAATGCCACTCGATATGACTCCGTAGAGAGCCACTGGACTCACTCCATCAGCGTAATACCAGCTACGGGCTGAGAGAAGCTGCTCTTCTGCCCGACCCCCCAAAGGAATCAAAATGAACGAACGAACTGGTGGTACTTAAAGACGAGCAGTTATATAGCTGATCACAGGCCCAAAGATGCTGGAAAAGACCAGGTTGTATTAGAAGTAAAGTTGATCAAGACCTTTTCAAGACTGTGAGAGCTTTGACCAGCAGTTGGTGCCACATGAGGGACCCTCGTCCCCGACTCTGCAGAAGGACGTATCGGGGAAGGGCAGGTCCTAGCCTATCGCTGCGCTTGTTGTAGCTCCCGACGCCCGGCCTTCATGGAGGTTGAGGATGGAGATTGTGCATCTCCCTTGGAACCCGGTGGGGGGCCTGGAACCAGGGCTCCCTTTTTGGGGGCCAGCAGCCCCGCATGCCACAGTCAGGGGCTTCCTGACTGAGCCCCTGCTTCCAAATGGCAGTGGCAACATTTCTGTGTTCGTGTGATTTTAAGCGAGGCTCTGTATGAAGTCTGGAACATTTTGTCTTCTAAGAAAAGTGTGTTTTTTTTTAAATGTATTTTATTTTTTGTGAACTGAGAGTTCAGTGACCTGAAGAAATGCGCACAGTTGTGATAAATGTCATTTCTGGAAATACTTTTAAGAAGCAGAGTAAAAAATCTGATGGTTGCCCCCCCGGGACAGTGTCACCACTGTCAGGAAGTTTCAGAAACACAAAGCCGGCTTCAGTTTGCGGTGTCTCCCCGTTTCCTCTGCGGGGACAATTCGGGCAAAGGGGGGTGAGCATCTGTGAGAAACTCTGCGAGGCAAAAAAACGGAGGAAGCTTCAAAAAATTACAAGACTGTCGTAAGGAGCTGGTCTAGTTGGTTTGCAGTATGTTTATCCTTTCCGGGGTACATTCAGTCCCTTATGGTCCTTGTAAAAACATTTTTGGACAGTAAAGTGTTATTCCGGCTCCCGAGCGTGTGTGCCACATCCCACCTATGCCTAAAAAATACTGCGCCCTTTTCTGCACCCTCTTCTCGGGCTCATTAACTTAGTTTCGGGGTAAGGTTTACTTTATGTAGGTTTTATTTCCAGTTTCACTTGTTTCTTGGTGCATTTTAGCTACAGCTTATTTTTCTTTAATGGGGAGAAGTCATTTCATGAATCAAATAGCTGTTATTCTAATTAAGGCATTCTGTTCTCCCATGGGTTGCAACATTGAATCACTTGCAAAATTACTTCTTACTTTTCCACCATATTATATGAGGCACATCGTGTCCCTCTGAAGTGATTGTTGCCACCGTGTGGAGGGACAGCTCATGGCAAGTGCGCATCTATTAAAATATTTCTGATATTTGGGCCTTCAAACTGCAGTTTCACATCAAAGTTTCTCATGGCCAGAGAGCTTCATTTGACTAAAGAGCCTTCTTGGAGACGAGCCTGGCGGCGCCCGCAGTGGCTCTGGTAGTTTTAGGGCCTCCCAGCTGCACCGTGGGGATGTCACTCATGGTTAGAAATGTTTCTCCTTTTGGTAGCCTGGAATCTATAGGGGCGAGGTGTGTGTGTGTGCACATGTGTACACTTCTGGGCGTGAGTCCGTGTGTGTGTGTAATTGCAATATAGTCCTGACATGTAATTTATATGCAGATCATACAGTTGGTTGTATGTTAAGTTTATAAAATACAGTTGCCACAAGTGGTTTTATGCAGGTCTTTGTGTGGACTTCTGTCTTCACCTCTCTTGGGCAGATGCAGAGGAGTGAGACGCTGGATCGGAAGGGTGGTATGCATTTAACTTCATAGGAAACTTCCAGACAGGTTTCCAAAGTGGCTGTGCCACTGGAACAGTTTAGCTCCACATGCTTGGCACACAGGTGTGCACAGAAAAGTGTAGGCAACGGGTGAGGCAAAGGCGACTGCCAGGAAGCACACTGAGCTGGGCAAGGGCTTCAACAAGGGGAGCGGTTCAGATTCTGAAATGAGGCAGCTGTGGTTCGATCCCTGGTTCCGACTCCCACAGCTGTGTGACCCACCAGGAAGACTGCCGGCCCCCAGCCCTGGTCTCCTTGTCTATAGAATTGGGACAATAATGATATTTTCTTCATTGGGCTGTAGGGAGGATTATGTGAGGCTACAAATATAGAAGTTAGTGCTCACTAAGTGTTAGCTGTTATTACTAACCTCTGTATTTTATAATTAGAAACAAGAGATGCAAAAGAGGTGTGGTTTTATAATTTCCTGTATTTGTTTAATCTGAACAGCTGACAAGAGGGGAGGGGAGCCTTGGACTGAGAAATCCTCCAGAGTTAATTAGAACGTTGCTCGTTAAGTCAGAACGGAAGGCAAAGCATCTTTGATGGACGAGACAGTCTCAAATCACCTGCGAGACTGGTGGGCTTGAATGTGCCTGAGCCCTCCCTGGAGGGGCCTTGTCCCCAGGTCCCTGCTAAAGGAGGCACGAGTTCAGAGTCAGGGACTAGCTCGGGGCCTCAGCATGGACGCTGGACGGCAAACTGGTAACCCACGTCTGCAAACCCTGTTTCCTTACTAAACACACTAACGCATGTGCACACTCAGTTGACAGCTGTGACTCCTGCAGGCGGTGTGCCGTCCCTGCTGCGACTCCTGCAGGGGATGTGCCGTCCCTGCTGCGACTCCTGCAGGGGATGTGCCGTCCCTGCTGCGACTCCTGCAGGGGATGTGCCGTCCCTGCTGTGACTCCTGCAGGCGGTGTGCCGTCCCTGTGGTGAAGCATCTGATGCGCGTCTAGATAGATGGGAACACAGCTGTGTAGACAGGTCCGTGTCAGCTTCCTGTGCATACTATGGTTGAAGACGAAGGTATGTCGTATTTTTATTCTTTTATTTTTTATTTTTTTAAAAATTTTACTGTTTAAAATAATACAGATGTCCCTTTTTCTCCCCAATGACCCGTTCCACCCTGTTCCTTCCCCCTCCCCAGTCCCTCTCCCCACCATTGTCCATGTCCTTGGGTTGTGTATATATGCACATAAATTCTTTGGTTACTCTCTCCCCCTCCACCCGCCCACCCTTCTCCATCCCTCTGACATTCATCTGACTTCGTATTTTTAATTTCATGAAGTCATATACAGATTCTAAATATCTGAACTGCTCAAATCTCAAGCTGATTACTGGCAAGTTCTCTCTCAGGTTTACGGAAAGGGCAATAAAACATCATTTTTTCACTTAACTTGGGACGTCGAGTGAGGTCCGCGAAGCCCGAGGAGGAACCTCCCAGCGAGAAGGGCCGGGCTGCTGGAGCCGGAGCTGAGCCAAAGCAGCCTGCAGCCCTCGGAGCTGCGTCAGCCAATAGGACCGAGGCTCTCCCCGTCCAATCGGAGCCGCGAGTGCTGTCCTCATTAGCATCCTCACCAACCAATCGGAGCAACACCATTCTGACCAATGAGGGCACTGCTTTTTGGACCAATGAAACAGGATTCTCATTTGGATGGACCAACCAGGGCCAGGGGCGGGGCCTCCCCGTGAGAGACGGGGCTTCCCGGGTGGAGCGCGGGGCTGTGCGGT